GCTTCCTCCTTGCAGTTCATCAAGCCGTTTCTTTCTTTAATCCTTTCCAGTTCAGCTCCCAGCAGGCTGATCCCCTTCATGCCGCAGTACGCGAGGAAGTGGTGGCGCAGTCTGCCGCACGTCAACGCTTCGTAGTCGTTGAAAAGGGCACTCTCGGTAAGTCTCTCGACTACTTCCTGCGAAATGGTGGCCCTGATGTTTTTTACGTCCGTGGCCGCTCCGCCTTTGCCGAGGAACGTGGCGATGAGTCTGGCGCCGCGGGGACCCAGAATCTCGTGCAGTTTGTCCGCCTGGGTAGCATTTTGCACCGCCGCGAGCTCCTTGTTGATGAGGTTCATCAGAGTAGCTTTTGCCCATTTGGGCATAATATGGAGAATTTTGGCACGCAGCCCGGACGGCCCTTGTAACTCCGGGTTAAGATTGTCGAGGGCTCTGTGGAAGTCGTCTTCTGATAGCTTGAGCGGGTAGCATAATTTTGCGACTTCAAGAACTTTGCGCATGATGTTCTTGAACTCGGGCCCCGCGAAGTCGCTGCTCGTCTGGACGGAGTTGAGGACATCCTCGGGCAGGAAGAAGCGCGCCTTTGCTACTTGTAGCAGAGCTGACCACGGTTTTTCGAGTCTGAGTCGTCCGTCGCGGATACCTACTAACCCTGATATTGGTAGTCCTCTTTTGGCTCCGTAGAATTTGCTTTTTGCTTGTGTGAGTAGCTTATTTGTCGTCGCGCTTTTTGCTCTGCCGGTTTTCGTGGAGCTGATGTCGCTAACATTTTCGATCTTCCAGGGAATAAAATGCCTCGCGTAGTCCCGTCTTTTCGTATTGTCGTCGTCGATGATTGCTTTGCACACGGCGTCGGTAAACGTTTCGAGGCTGGTCGCCTGTACTATATGACTCTTGCATTTTTCGATAGCGTCTTTTATTCTGGCGGCGTCTACTTTTTCGTCTCTTCTGATTTTTAGCGTGGAGGGAACTCCTTGGAATTTGGCTTCTTCCTTGACGAAGTTAAAACGGCCGACAGGACTAGGGAAATCTTTCGGCGGGTGTTGGATCTTGTCGAGGATTGTGAACAACTTCGCACCCCCGCTCACGATTTCGTGCGCCACCGCGTCTTGGATGGCTACAGCGTCCTTTTTCCACCACTGCTTCCTCCAAACTGATTCCCGGCTTTGGTCCTCGGCGCCCTTGTCTCCGTCGTCGACATCCTCTTGGTAAACGTCGAGGAAACCTGATACGAGTATCATCGCATGGTCGGAGCTTAGAGCGGCGTCCTCGGTCAGTTCACCCTCCTTGTCCCAACGGATGACCTCGACGCTCATCTCCGTGATGGATCTTCTACTATCCTTGACGAGTATCGCGTCGAGCGTGCTGGCGTCTCTGAACGTTGTCTCGATCCCTAGAGGCACTGGCTCGTGCTCGTGCGCGATTTCCAGAAGGAAGTCGATCAGTATCGCT